CTTTCCCTTCCCCTCCCCACCCCCCCATCCCGGTCCCAGCTGCCCCCCCGGGCGCTGCCGTGTCCTGGGGGAGGGGATCCATTCCCGAGAGGGGGGGTCCCCAGGGCCCCCCCACCCATCCTCCACCCCACCTGTGACATCGCCCCGATAGGACCCCCGGGCGGGGGGGTGTCCACCTTTCAGCAGCAAAGGGGGACTGGGGGAGTTAGGGGGTCAATGGGGGGTCATGGGGGGCTGTTGGGAAATTGGGGGGCAGTGGGGGGCCATGGGCACCGTTCCAACCTGTCCCTCCCACCCCCGCAGGTGGCTGGATGGGAAGCGCAAAAGAAAGAGCAGCCAATGTTTGGTGAAGAGCAGCATGTCAGGTACGGGGACCCCTGGGCACCCCACGGCCCTGCCGGGCACCCCCGGGTCAGCCAGGCACCCCACGCTCTTGCTGGGTTCCACAGGCACCCTGTGTCCCACCTGCATCCCACAAAAGCCCTGTGCCCCAAGTCCTGGCCAGGATCCCCTGGACACTCCATGTCTCTGCAGGGTCCCCCAAAGTCTCATGGACACCCCTTGTTCCCTGTGGGCACCCCGGGACCCCCATTTCATTTCCAGGGTGCCGTGGACACCCCACGTTCCCAGTGGGGATCCCCAAGTCCCAGCCAGGCACCCCAGGGATACCCCATGTCCCTGATGGGCACCCCAAGGGTCCCCGTGTCTCCCCAGGGTTCCCTGGACACCCCATATCCGTGAGGGTCCCCCGGGGTCCCGTCCCCCACGTTCCCCTCGGCGCCCCTTGGTTCGGGGCGGTGCCATCCGGGCGGCAGCGCCCTGGGGTGGGCGATAAGGGGGGCCCCGCGGGCGCTGCCCCCCGCCCTGCCCCATTCCCCGGCGGGGAGCGGCCGGCGCCGGCAGGACCCGATGGGTGGGACAGGGTGAGGGGGGGGGCAAGGGGGACCCAGGCGTCCGGCTCCCGCCCATCCCATCCCCTGCACCCGCCCCGCTCCGGGAGAGGGGAGGACACCCGTGGACCCCCCACATCCGGCACCTGCAGAGCGCCAGGGTGGGCTCAGGGGGGTCCCCACACCTGTGTTTGCAGGGGGCCCAGGTGGGTGTGGCAGTCCTGGGGGGCCAGGTGCCCACCCCCCCTCGCCCTTTGTGCCCCCCTCGCCCCGGGGACCCCCACATCCAGCACCCACAGGGCACGAGGGTGGGCTCCCTGGGGTGGCATAGGGGGCCCAGGTTGCTGGAGCCCCCCCACCGTGTGTCATGGGTGCGCCGTGCCTCAGTTTCCCTGTGAGGTGGTGATCGGGGAGCTGGGGGGGTTGGGGGGCTGGTCCCCCGGGCTGCCAGGCGGGGGGACCCTGGACAATGGTGGGGACAGTGGGTCTTTGTGCAGCAGGGGGACAGGGACCCCCCCGCTGCCGGTCCCCAGCCGGATAATGGGATAATGGGGGCTTTATTGGTGCAGGGGGCTCAGACACCCCCCACCCTCTGACACCCCCCCCCAGCTTTAACCCTTCCTGTGCCAGGCTGAGGGGCAGCAGCAGGGCTTCGGTGGGTGCTGACAGAGGGGAAACTGAGGCACACTGGGGGTCCCTGGCAGGGGGGGTGCAGAGGGTCCCTGATGCAGGGCATAGGGGGCATCTCTGACTTGGGGTCCCCAGGGGCTCGTGACTTGAGGTACCCTGAGAGTCCCTAACTGGGGACCCCTTGCCTGGGGCACCCTGGGGGTCCCTCCCACGGGGGTCCCTGACCCGGGGGTCCCGGCAGGGTACATCCCTAGTTACCTGGACAAAGATGAACAGTGCGTGGTGTGCGGGGACAAGGCCACCGGCTACCACTACCGCTGCATCACCTGCGAGGGCTGCAAGGTGAGCTGGGGCAGGGGGCTTGGGGGGGGAAGGGGGGGCTCAGCAGGGTTCAGTGGCGCTCACCGTGTCACCCACCCCGCGCCCTCCCCAGGGATTTTTCCGTCGGACCATCCAGAAGAACCTGCACCCCACCTACTCCTGCAAGTACGATGGGTGCTGCGTCATCGACAAGATCACCCGCAACCAGTGCCAGCTCTGCCGCTTCAAGAAGTGCATCTCCGTGGGCATGGCCATGGACTGTGAGTGGGGGGACACGGTGGGGGATTGGCTGGAGGGGCAGGTTGGGGTCCTGGCACCGTCGGGCACATTGGGGTACCCAGAGCAGCCACAGGATTAGGTGTTGGGCACAGGGCACTGATGCATCAGCAGGGTGGGATACACGAATGGAGGGTCTTGGCTGACTGGGGGGGGGGCTCCCAGCTGATGGTGGGGGCGCTGCTGGGGGGTGGGTTGTGATCCTGGTGCCATGGGGTGGGTTGAGGTGCCCGGAGCACCGTCAGGAGCAGGCTGGTGCGTCACTGTGGGATGCTGTGCTGTGACTGTGGGCTGCATGGCTGGTGGGGTTGCTGGCTGGTGGGGGGCTCTCAGGTGATGTGGGGGGTCCCGGCAGTGGTGCTGGATGACTCCAAGCGGGTAGCGAAGCGGAAGCTGATCGAGGAGAACCGGGAGCGGCGGCGGAAGGAGGAGATGATCAAGTCGCTGCAGCATCGCCCCAACCCCAGCGCCGAGGAGTGGGAGCTGATCCACGTGGTGACAGAAGCCCACCGCAGCACCAACGCCCAGGGCAGCCACTGGAAGCAGAAGCGGAAATTCCTGGTGAGGGACCCTGTCACCACCCCGACCCCCCCGGCAGGGGTTTGCTGAGCACCCACGGCGGCAGCGCTGGCGGTGCCAGGGTTTGGGATGTCACTGGTGTCCTTGGGCAGGTGGAGTTAGGGGGGGGGTTGGGACGTCTCTCGGTGTCCTTGAGCTGGTCACCCCCAAAGGGTTCAGGGGTGAGCGGTGACCGAAGGGGACAGCTGTGCCCGTGGGTGGCCCCGGCCGGCCCTGGTCCCAGCCCTGTCCCTGTCACGTAGCTCCCTCTCCTGGCTGCTGCACCCAGCCCTGCCACACGTGTTTGTCGGTGACATGGGGGTCCTGAGGAGGGAACGGGGTCACGCTGCACCCCCCCAGGGTGGGGGAAACGGTCACACCACGCCCCCCCCACAATGCTGCTGCTGTCCACCATGAGGGTCCCAATCACACCACAGTCCCCAGTGCTGCCGTGGGGGTCCTGAGGGGGGAACACATGGTCACACTGCACGCCCATGTGCCACTGTCCCCCATGGCGATCCCAGGAGGGAGGGGACGCAGTTACATCACAACCCCCAATGTCCCTGTCTGTTATGGGGGTCTTGATGGGGGACGCATGCGGTCACACCGCACCCCCAACGCCACCACGGGGGTCCTGTGGGGGACACTCCACACCCCCCAACACCTCCCTGCCCCCCACAGCCCGAGGACATCGGCCAGTCCCCCATGGCCTCCATGCCCGACGGGGACAAAGTCGACCTGGAGGCGTTCAGCGAGTTTACAAAAATCATCACCCCGGCCATCACCCGCGTGGTCGACTTTGCCAAAAAACTGCCCATGTTTTCGGAGGTAACCGGGGGGGGGGAAAAAAGGGGCAGGGAGCCGGGAGGTTTTGGTGGGGAGTGACCAGGGCGGACTGTCCGGGTCTGAGTCACACCAACCCTCCCCCCCGAACTGCCACCGTGTGCCTCCCCCCCCACAGCTGCCTTGCGAGGACCAGATCATCCTGCTCAAGGGGTGCTGCATGGAGATCATGTCGCTGCGGGCGGCCGTGCGCTACGACCCCGAGAGCGAGACGCTGACGCTGAGCGGGGAGATGGCGGTGAAGAGAGAGCAGCTCAAGAACGGCGGCCTCGGCGTCGTCTCCGATGCCATCTTCGACCTGGGCAAGTCCCTCTCTGCCTTCAACCTGGACGACACCGAGGTGGCCCTGCTCCAGGCCGTGCTGCTCATGTCCTCAGGTACTGGTGTGCGGCATGCTGGGGAGCATTGCCAGGCTGGAAGGGGGGTAGGAGTGGAGACCCCAGTTCCCAGTGCCTGGGGAGCATGGGGTGGGCGCTGTAATCTGTGGTGTTGAACTCTGGGGCTGCAAAGGGTGGGCGTGGGCTGAGCCCCTCAGTGCCCTGGGGACCCCTGCCATGCTGATGCGGGTCTGTGGGGTGGGAACCCCAAAAGCCAGGGGGTGTGTGGGGCACTCAGCCCTATAGGAGGGCAAATCTCCTTGGATGCCAGATGGGCTCTTACATGGACAGAGAATACCAGGTCAAGGGGGAGGGATTTAAACTAAAAAGAGGAGATTTAGATGAAATACTGGGAAAAAAATTTCTCCCTGTGAGGGCGGTAAGGCCCTGGTACAGGTTACTGAGAGAAGCTGTGGCTGCCCCATCCCTGGAAGTGTCCAAGGCCAAGTTGGACGGGGCTTGGAGCAACCTGGGCTAGTGGAAGGCGTCCCTGCCCATGGCAGGGGGGTGGGACTGGGTCGGCTTTAAGGTCCCTCCCACCCCAAGCCACTCTGTTATTCCATGGTGATTCCACGATGATTCCATGACTATCCCATGGCGATTCCCCGCAGACCGGACGGGGCTGATCTGCGTGGAGAAGATCGAGAAGTGCCAGGAGACGTACCTGCTGGCCTTCGAGCACTACATCAACTACCGCAAACACAACATTCCCCACTTCTGGCCCAAGCTGCTGATGAAGGTGACGGATCTGCGGATGATCGGCGCCTGCCACGCCAGCCGCTTCCTGCACATGAAGGTGGAGTGTCCCACCGAGCTCTTTCCCCCCCTCTTCCTCGAGGTCTTCGAGGACCAGGAGGTGTAGGGCTGACACCCCCCCACCCCGGGCCCCCCCCCAAAAACCCTGCTCTGGCCCCCCCATCCCCCAAATCTTTCTCGTCCCCCTGTAAGGACAAGGGGATGCTGCGCCCAGGGCGAGGGTCCCGCTGTGCCCCCCCACGGCCGCCCCCCCCTCCCCCCGCCCCAGGACTTGACGAATTTTGTTTGTTTGCACAGGGAAGGGCCCCGACGGTCGAGCGTTCCCTTTATTGTCCTTCTCTTCGTAGATTATTATTTTTTAAGCATTTATTTCCCTCCCTGAGAGGCTAAAATATTAAACTAACTGCACTTTGGAAGGAGGAGGAGGAGGAGGAGGAG